ATCATTTCTTGAGGTTTAGATTATGAAATTTTTACTTAAATGACAAGTGGATTACAACCAAGGTACGATTTTCCATGAAACAAGATGGTTCTCTAATTTTCTACTACAACCAAAAAGACATCAAAGACCATCACAATCAACAACATGTCCTTACCCCCTAACAATACACTTTTGGTGACTATATGACCACACAAATGGATTAACTATTTATTTGTGGTGCTGTGAGATGTTTGTAGATGCTAATTTTAGAAATTAGAACATAAAAGCAATGTTAGCTTCTTACTAGTGACCATATGAATTATGCCATTTCAAATGCATTCTGCAAGATTATAGAAGAAGTTAAAAAGATGAAAGCTTTTCATCAAAAAAGAAGAAGAAGAAGAAAGCAATGGACGTATGTATGATCTATCAGTTATAAAAAATCTAATTTACTGATTGACCAAGAAGGATATGAGCTAGATTAACCATAGAAGAAGACTAGGCTTCCCAAACCAGAAGTGCTTATCTCATAAGTTGAATTAAGCATGTTTTATATAGGGGTAATGGTCCATTATCTCAACAACCAACTTTACCACCACCCCGATGTAGTTTAGTACCAATTACAAGATCAACTAAATTGCAAATCAACATGCCAAAAGTCATTGTTATTGATTAAGACCTAAAATTTAAAACTAACTATCCAAATTTAAAAACTGAATACATGTTTTAGGCTTTTAGTTAAAACCTTAGCATTATTGTTTCATAAATCTATAACACTTTTAAAATAGGTGGCAAAAAAAAAAGGTTTTCTTAGCATTTTCTTCCTTTTTTTTTGGGCAAGAAAAAGGTCCTTGTTTGACACTTAGTGTGACATGGTGGTACTTAGTGCCACCATTGCTTGCATTCTATCCCATAACCCTCACCCTGCTCAACCTTTGAGTTTGTTCTTTGCATGACACAAGAACAATTAACTTGAACAGATTTAAGGTTAGCTTGATGAAGCAAAGGAAAGCCATTAATGTGAGCATGTGGTCATTGGAGGTTTGTAGAGGGCAAAGGCAGAACGATAAGGCTTTGTTTAGGAAAAAATGAGCACACATACATGATTGTGTTGTCATGAATCGGTTTGGGCATAATGAGGTCCCATAAACTCATTACTCAAACATGGCAGTTTCGATTAGTTTGTCAATTCTTAGGTTGCATCTTGTCCCATGGGTCAATTTGTTAGAAAGTGTTGCGCATTAATATAAGTATGATAATTTTTTATTTTATATTGATTGATATTGATTATTGCTATTACTTGAGCATGGTTATAAATTCATGATATTTATCTCCATGTATGAACAAACCATTCCACGCATCTTTATGTTATATCATAAGCTTATCTTTTATTAGTAGGTATGACCTTTTTGTAATTATAAGACTTAGGCAATTATCCCTTTTTTTTCTTGCTGCAAGAATCAGTAAATTATCTATGTAAGCTCAAGATTTGTTCAAACTAAAGCAAAAAATCATTATAATAGTTCATGTCAAGTTAATAAGGGAGGAAAACAAAAGACAAATCATGTCAATTGCCTAACAGTTTGGATCAACAATGATATGACATTGACCTTTTTCAAAATAAAAATTAAAAAATAATAACCTTTTTTTTTGTTTTGTTACCTTTTCCTTAAATTTTACTCCCAAGACATAGCCACCCATGTAGGCACACAATCGTATCAACGATATGTTCAAATCTAGGAACTCTTTCAAGGAAGAAAGGTGGCATTTCCTTTAAAACGATTAACACTTGACAAAAAATAATAACCATTTGAAATATAAAGTATGCATTTTTTAAGGGAAAAAATATGATAAGCATTTCAATCAATTCTCGACATTTGTGTTGGATGGAGATTGAATGAATTAAATTTCAAAAATATAGTTTGACTCATACAATGGATATTAGGCCTTTGGTAGGAATGAACTGAAATGGGCATAGAATTTAACAGTAAAAAATATGAGCTGATTAATTTAAAACAGACACGGTATGATTTAAGAAATTAAGAAATTAATAAAATAAGAGAGAATGATAAATTAAAAATCATGAATTTTTGAAGATTATATAAAACAGAATAGCAAAATAGAAGAAGAATTAAGGTGCAAGGATTTTATATTAATGAAAATCATATTTATCCTTGATGCTACAAGGATTTCATAATTAATGAAAATTATATTTATCCTTAATACTATATTTGCTTGAAGGGGAGGGGAGGGAATGTTGGGGAAGGGAGGTAAGGGGAGTGGAGGGGAAGAGAGTGGGGGATCCCCTAATTTGGGGGGGGGTTGGAGGAGAGGGAAAATTTTAAAAGATTTTCTCTCCCCTCTCCTCTAACCAAACACTACCTGAGACAACTCTATTTAATTGAGAAGTGTGACAAATAAGGAAAGGAGATAAAATAAAAGTAATGACCAAACATAAACACAAGCATAGATATTAACGGATTTGAATTCGGCAACTGTAGACACTGAATGCCTATATTATTTAAGTCGTCGATATCCATATTAATAATTCAAATAAACTGACTCATTCATTAATTTAAAGTGGAATATAAATTTAGAACTATTCATTCAAATTTTAATGATTTAAATGATACGGGTATTCAATACTCATACTAAATACAATCATCAAATTTAAATTTAACATAGATATGAAGAGAGTTGGAGGATGTAGATAAGGTTAGAACTACCTATGTGGTGAGGGGGGCCATCCCCCCCCCCCCAAAACTCTCCATCTCTTCCCATATATTTTTATGGATTACCTAGATGCAATATATACATATATTTATGTAATATTCCTCTCTATTCTACTTATAAGATAGAGGGAGAATAATTTTTTATCTTATTTATAAGTTGTGTTATTAAAATTTTGATAATACATTTTGTCTTTTATCCCTCATTAGCAATTTATACATGTACATACTCCTTTCATTTAAAAATATAAGACACTTTTTTAGGGTAGATCTTGAAAAATACAAGATATTTTTATTTGTTAATGTGTACTTAATGAGTTTTTTTTTTTCTAAAAATACCTTTAATAAATAAACCACCCAATCATTTACCTTCAAGAGAGATATCGTATTATATAAGAATAAATATGAAAAGATGATATCAATTTAAAAATAATTAATTAAATTCTTGGACGAATGATTCAGTTAAATATGGAAGCAGTATTTTTTTTTTTTTTTTTACAAAAATTGCCCCCCTCCCCCAACATCAAGGCTGGTTCCGCCCCTGGATGTGGATATATGAAGTGACGAGGCAAAGCTAAATAGTAACTACAGAGAAGGCATTATAAGTTTGGCAGTTCAGATCAGATAAGCTGATTCGTGGCCACTGCTGCTTGCACGGGTAGCTGGTTCTTGACCCATTCCAGATACCCTCCCCACACGTTCCTCACATTCTTGTATCCCTGCCAGTGCCATTTCAATCTTCATTCATCATTACTATTCTCATGTTCCTACATAAATAAAGTGATCTTCAAGTATATCAAGCGATTTCACTTACGTCACCCACAAGCTCCCTCGTCGCATGCACAGACCTCACCCCGCTCTGGCACCCCTGCTCATTGCACACACCTCATCAGCTATTTTGCCCTTAACTAGCCACTTGTATTTCTTCATTCTGAAAATAGAATTCCCAAGAAAAAGAAATATTTACCACTACCAAATGATCTTCCTTGTTGCAGACTGACCAAACCTTGCTCAGAAACTCTGGATTCTTCATCCTTCCTGTTGCACAACAGCAGAGATTCAACTAAGGAATAAAGACAAGGTGTCCTGAGAGAAGAAATTAAAATTCCATTACCCTCTGGCTTGTTGAACATGCGAGGAATGTTTATGATCCTGTCCATAGCCGGATGCCCTTTCTCGAACTCTTCCGACGTCCTGTTTCACGATTGGGTTCAATTTCTCGGCATCAAAATTATTAAGTTGCCCCCAAAAAATCAGAAATTGTTTGTCCCATTTTCTTAAAGAAAATGACCAAACAGAGGACAGGAAGATTTCTACCTGACATCGAGATAAACATGGCCAGCATGGGTCAGAGCCCTGGCCCTGTGCACGTCAAGTCGTCAACAGTGATAATCTCTGCTCCTGAGCTGCCTGCGAAGGGAAAAAACGATGAAGAGGGTCAAACCTTCCAAGAGAGTACATGATCAAGAATTGGAATGCCAAGCGACTAAAATGATGGAGGAATTTGAGAGGCTTTTCGCATTACAAGTAATATACATGCGCTTGATTGCACGACGCCTTACCTTCTCTTTATAGTAACAGTAACGTGTCATTATCATTACCAATATGAACATGAATAATTTTTGTGAAAAGTTGCATTACTCTATAACCAGCATGACTTCAGCATTTCCATAAATTAAGTCTACCTGTAATTATTTATAGGTATAATTTGCTGAGTTTTGTAAGTTTAGAGGCACAAGTGGGGCGGCAATAGATTGCTGCTCAAGCCACCAAAGAAAAATATTTAATATTAAATTGGAGAAGAAATAACAATTAAAAATAGAGACAGAATTAAAAAACAGTGCAATTGTGAAAGAAAGAAAGCTGAAAAAAAAAGAAATGGAAAATTGTCAAGAAAAGGAAAAAAAAAAGAAGGTTGAGAAATTTAAGAAGTCTTCTTTTACATTAGGGCACATTCTAAATCGAGGAATTTTGTTAAAGAAAGATAAATTAATGTCAATGAAATTACTACAAGAGTTAGTCCACCGTAATGAAAAAAGTACTATTCAGTGTTTTGAATAAGATTGTCTAAAAAGAAAAAAAAGAATAAATTGATCATTAAATGCTTAATTCAGCCAATAATTTAATCATAACCCGTTTTTTAAAATAAGGTCAAATATAGAGCATTTTCTAAAGTTTTCCTGATTATATTTCGTCATTTACCGGCCGTGAATGCGGACAATGGGCTCCTCTCATGGTCTTACGCCTAGAGCCAGTTCGCGTTGGGCCCTCTAACTCGATGGCTGTGTTGCCATGCCCAACAGTCCATTCAGAAATTCTCAAACTGAAATGTACTAGCAACCCACAATGCCACTTTGCTCTAGCTCCGCTCGGCGACTGAACAAAGAAAGCAAACTACTTCAGACTTCACAGTCCTCAGGTGAAAGACGATGGTGAGAAGTTAGTGATGGAAAACAGAACGAATGAGAAGGCTTCATCTTTGAGATGGAAAATCCTTCGCCAGGCCCTTCTCCCTCGAGCTTCTCCGCCAAATCCAGGTTTGCGCTCTTTAGCTTCTCACTTTCTATCCCCTGAGTATGAGATGTTCTTGGCCGTCATCAGCCGCGCCTTTCTTTAGATTGCAAAATTTTGGTAGCAAATTGATTCAGGTCATGGCTTTGCAGATAATCAAGCCCAAATGGACATCAAGCGCATTTCAAGAAGGACCATTTATGGCTTCAACTTAATTCCCTCTCGTCTACTCGACAAATGTGAAACTGATGACTGCGATGAGTCGACTTCGAGGGATGCGTGCCTTTGTTACACCATACCCATCCATGGCTCTCCGAGAATACTTTTGATGTGGGTTTATTTCATTCTCTACTTTTCTTTTCGCTTCTTTTTTCTTTTGGAAATTGACTTTACAGTTAGATTTGGTTAAGAGATTGTGTGTGCGTGTGTCTTTTCCGTATCACATCACCCTGTGTTTAGTTAATGTAGCCACTAGTAAAATAACTGAGTTAGTCATTATCTCTTCTTTCACTAGATGTGTATAGGTAGATCATCTCCTATGTTCCTTTAAAATATATGAAACTATTTGGATTTCTATTTTGCAGTGAGATAAATACATATATAAAAAGTACTCTTAGACCTCGAAAACAATAGTTGGTGGACTTTTTTTTTTTTTTGGGAAATGGGAATATTGTGGGCTCGTGCATGATATCCATGCCATGCCAGACTTTACAGGACCAGTGTTATATAATCATTGAATTTTAAATTTTAAATTCTTTGCAAAACTGTCCATTGTTGTGAACAATTTATGCAGACAAAGAGTAGTCGACCGTGCTCAGCTCAGTGATTTTGAGATCTGCAACAGATACAACATTGACAACACAGGAGTTGTTTGTAAGTTGCTGTTATCTTACTCAAGGAAGATTTTATATTCCAACTTTACAGGGACTGAAACTACTTGCATCAGATCTCACTGTAAGCGCAAAATTAAAATCATCTCTCAAATTTAAGTAATCATATGAAATTGCTCTCACCCCCTCTTTTTTTTTTTCGATAGTTCCTTTTTCTCCTGAATTTCAACGTCAAAGACCCAATAGTGCTTCTTTTAAGTTGCATTTGTCATGACTTCTATGCTAAGATGGTTATATAATATGATAAAACCACAAGAAGTGTTTTTTCCAAGGGGTCTAAAATACATATTATTTTGTTCATTAATGTATATATGCATGCTCGTTGCATTCATCATTTAATCTTATTTAATTATCAGACTTAGATGGCTATCTGGAAAAATCTCTGCCCAGTTCATGAAAATGAATGAACTTTTTTCCATAAAAACATTTATGATCATGTAAAGAAGTGCTAAGTTACTGGAATCAATGAAAGGAACTATTTCTTTCACAAGATGGATCAATAAAGTTTGAATGACAAGGTGAAGTAAGATTCTGGTATTAGATCTTCGAAACCAGCCTTTAGCCTTTATTAAGTGAATGGCCAGTCTTGCAGGATGTGTTTTGCCCTCAAATTTTTATCGCCATTCTTTCAGAAAGTGTTAATACAGATAGGTTGCTTTTATCAAGTACTATTTGTAGTGCACTTCAGTGCTAGTCAATCGGATTTAAGTTGCCCTTGGAGAAATCTACAGGAATCAGTGGTTACTTTTAGAAATTAAAGAAATTATCAGTTCACACTTGTCTCAACATGATTTTGTTCTTTCATTCCCCAGTTTGTTTATAAATTTAGCATTTCCTCTGCAGGTAGCTGGCCATCAGAAGATGTTCTTGCTTACTATTGCTTGTCACATGCAGATCTTTTCAGGTTTAGAGAATGATTCCTTGTTGCTTTCCTGACAATTTAATTCATTATTAATCGTCACTTCTCTTAATTCTTTGGTGTTTTGGTGCTTCCATTTCTCTTACTCTGTGCTATTTTTCTATGTTCTTCAACTCTTCTGCATTTGTGATTTTTTTTTTTGGTATTACCTTTATATTATCAGGCATAAAAAAGTTGTTGAGCTTGGGTCTGGCTATGGCTTGGCTGGCTTTGTTATTGCAGCTGTTACGGAGGCGTCAGAGGTTGTAATCTCAGATGGAAATCCTGTAGTAGTCAATTGTATCCTTTTGGTTTTTTTTTTTTGTTTGCTCACATTTTTTATGTTTCAAGATGATGATGACTCTAAATTTTGAAGTAGTGGCAATATGACGCATCAGCAGACTTCTATATTTTTGTTCAATTATCTTTTTTTCAAAATTTGTTTTTAAAGGAAGGGAGGCCCATGAGACTCAATGTCCAAAGTCTAATTTGAGGATACTCTTTGATTGCATTGCAAGTTGTGTATAAGTCTTGTTGAATTCAATTTCAAAAATTCTCTTGCAGTGCTATTTGGTGTCTGCCAAATGCCAATGGCAGGGATCGATGAAATTATGAGTTACAGTAACAACATTTACAAGAAATTTTAGACGTTTACCAAGATAGTAGAATTTAACGAATTCATTTAAGTTTAGCAGCAACTTTGTGATGTTTTTGTCCAACTATGTTTAGATGTACGTGTCTTACTATTGCTAAAACAACAGCAATTGTATAAAGAGTGGATAGTTTTCTCTATCTCAACCCTCAAACTGTTCTTGAGAAAGGAATAGCTGCTTAGAACTTGAAAAAAGATATACAAATAAAAATCTATTTTATCAACTGCCTGGATAAAATGTGTTTGCTAAATGTACAAAAATTTGGCAAAAGAAGGTTGCATGTAGTAAATTCAAATGCTCCCTTATCCCAATTCACCATTAATGTTCCTAATTTGGGTTCCTATTTTTTATTTTTTATTTTATGCATATATGCTTAAATGCCAGCTAATATTGAATCATAAAGCTTTGTCAATTGGATCGTTGATTTTTATTGAATATGAGAGTATAAGGTTTTGATGCTCTAAATGTGCAATCTTTCTTCCGATTATTTATGCTCACACAATATTAACACAACAATAAAGGGTCAATTTTGGTTTGATTCTGCAAACTATGAGGCAATGCCCCCAGTGCAAAATATTGTTTTCCATAAAATGTTTTCCGCTTAACTTTGACTGAGCTTTCAACAATCAGATATTCAGCGCAACATTGAGGTTAATTCAGGAGCATTTGGAGAAACAACAGTGAAGCCTATGATGCTTCACTGGAATCAGGAAGAACCTTTTGATATTGCCAATACTTTTGATATCATTGTTGCAAGTGATTGGTAAGGTTATCTTCAATACAGGGTCAATGGACAGCCTTAGACAATAAACATGTTCTTCTTGCTTATGATGCTTTACACCATCATGTCATTTTTAAAAAAAAAATGGTTAATGGTAGTTGGAGTAACTGCCATCCCAATACTTGTCATATTAGATAAATTTGATGTTCCTTGAATTGCATTTGTCCTTATTATTCTATTGGATAAATTTGATGCATGAACGTGATTTTAGAATGAGGTGGCAGTCATGAAGCCCCAAATCTCTTGATTATCTGGTGGAAGGCTGTAAGTTATGTTCTCTTGTCTTGTGATGAATAGACCTTTTCATTCCTGGCATGGTTGATAAATGGGATTGCTTTTCTTTTTCTCTTTTTTGCTTTAGTGGCAAAATGTTGGATACGTCTAGATGTCTAAAGTTATTCACTAGTTGACAAAAGGGTGTTGTACATAGTACGTAAAGCTTGAGCACATTCACATGCATGCAACTTGACTTGCTTTTTTGTGATCTTTACAGTAGTCTTCTAATCTCTACTTATCTTCTACTATTTTCATGACTTTGATTGGTCATTTGACAGCACTTTCTTTAAGGATTTCCATGGAGACCTGGCCCGGATTGTCAAACTCCTTCTATCAAAAACGGGATCCTCTGAAGCAATTTTTTTAAGCCCTAAAAGAGGGAATTCACTAGACATGTTTTTGGAGACTCTCAAAGAATATGGCTTGCAATTCACTGTAACTGAGAACTATGAGGCAGAAGTTTGGAACCGTCATAAGAAATTCATGGATGGCAAGGATAGAGACTCTTGGCCCAGCTATGAGAAAGATCACTGCTATCCACTATTAATCAGAATGTCGCCATGAACTTTTAGAAGCCACTTCTTTGATTCAAATGCTTTGCCTGTGACCTCTTTTCCATTTCTGTCTGAGCCATGTTTGACGAGGATCACATGCAAATGCATTCCTCCGATACATAAAATCTGCTAGTACAGATACTTGCCAATAACAAAGCATCGTTGGATAAATCTATTGTTGGGCTCGTATCATCAGCATAATGAATATTAAGAATATTCGACGGTTCCCTTGATCTGGTCAAGAATTTTTGGCCCCAAAAGGACCAAAGGCATATATTGAGTTCAATAGTTCATTATAAACTTTTGCACTTGTTCTTTGTCTGCCAATATTAAGAAAATCTGTAGTTGGTAGATGGTAGTGTGTTATTGTGACAAAACTCCTACCATTATTATTGTGCATCCTTTTATTAATGGTTGTTCAGATGAATCATGCATGTGGTTTTTTCCCCCTTTCCCGGTGATAGTGTTTGGGATTTGCATTGGTTCCTGCACCGAAACTTTTTGGCTGAAAAAGCTTTGTTATCTTCATTTAGGCGTCGAAATAACTAGAAAGAAGCTTTTCGAATGGCTGTCCATGAGTAAATAAAGCAGCCCCACCAGTGGGATGGAGCTGAAACTGTGTCAAAAGCTAGCAGATACATTATTGGTTCAATTAAACTAGAATTTTAATCCAAGTGCAGGTTGCTTCCCCCCCCCCCTCCTCTATTGTATTAGTGTAACTGCGAGGAACGTGCTTTGTCTTCGGAGGGTGACCATGTTCTATGGAACTGGGAATTCTTAGCTATTACGGAAGCAACCGTTTGTTGCTCTGTTGATTGAAGTTGTTTCCGTATACACTTGCCAATTTTCTCATTTACTTATCTGAGATTGAAAGATTTCTTGGTTGCGTTAGTATTGCTGCCAAGTATGAGGGAGCTAAAAACAGCGATAGGACAGCGCTTGTTGGGTTTTATTTAGTGCAATACAAGCTACTTTGCTCATTGTCTCTAGAACTTTACCAAATTAACTAATCTATGCTATGGTCTATGCGCTTGTTTTATTTGCAAGAGGCTCTTCCAATGACATTTGGTTGGATTTTGTCTAATTGGCGCCTTTATTTCATATCAAATAGGGGAGCATAGAAAATTCACCTTAAAATGACTGGTCATGGCAAAGTTTCCACCCGAAAGTAACTGATTCAACTACCATGCATATGCCATTCTCGGATCTGTAATGGATGCAGCACATGATGATCACAATCTCGTGTGTTTATGTTATGTATTCATAACATCACAATGGGGTGGAAAGTAGAGAATCTCTTGTTATCAAAATAAGAAAGTAAAGAATCTCCAATTATGGGAATGTGATCTTGAGCTGGAGATTCTGCGGTTGCCAATTGGTATGGTGGTAGTTGAGTAGGTACACAAAAACCTGCAACGTATTCCTATTAGGCAAAGTAAACCAATGCCTCAAGCTTCCATTATAATTTTTAAGTTGATCTATTCTCTCCCTAGTAGTAGACCCACTTTTCAGGTAATTTTACGCTTATTTTGTCGAAAATACTTGGTTATTGATCTTCGTGAAGCAGTAAATATTCCGCCCAAGTTGAGATATTGTTGCTTTATTCCTAAATAACAAAATAACCAGTGGTGGGTGTCGCTTCCCTTTTCACATTCCCCTTCGGTTAAGGAACACACAAGGGAGCAAAAGTTGAAGATGGAAAGTAAACAAGCACTGAGGAATGGCCCAAAAGTGGGTTGGTTTCTTTGCTCCGTTCAAGCCGTTCCACTTCCCCACAATTACTCGCATTCCTTGTGTCTGCAAACTGGACTTGACATCACCTTCGTAATCTCTTCCCTGAAGGCAAAAGCAAAAGCCTTTCTCTAGCATCCCAGTGAGGTCACTGTAACTTTCACTTTTAGAATGTGATAGCAGAAAGTTTGGAGCAACATGAAGTGCTTCAAATGAAATTCAAACACAAAAATTACATATATGCATGTTGTTGTGCTGTACTGTTAATGATTTTTGGGAGCCTGTCTTAGTCGGTCCATCTTTCATGATGAGTGCAATGGAAAATTATTATCGTTGCCATTATTTGATTCGTACGCCCGAAGTGCGCAAGAAACCAGAATTCCTTCGTCATCATTTGTCATGTTTGGGTTTGATAGTGAAAATCTCCAGATCATTTTGTTTCTTATTCACTTGCACACCTTCCACTTCTCTTATGGAGAAATTCGCATGTACCCTCTTCACTATCTACTTAAACTTATCTAGTTTAAACTCATGATCTTTCTCATTTAAAGATGTCTTGGTGTTGCTTAGCCAATAGACATAAATATGTACAGAAAGCGAGAATTAGGAGGAAGAAATATATCATAAAATTAGGGGTGATTTCAATTGGAAGACAAAACTTGGAAATTTGTAGATCAGATAATTTATTTTACAAATACAATGAAAAAGGATACTCCAAATTCAAATTAAAAAAAAATTTACATAAGTACCAATCAATTGTTTGGCCCAAAAGAAAAAGTTAGTAGTAGCGATTTATTTATTTTAAGCCTTTTTAACTATAATTTCTGCCGAGTGCGCGGATAGAATTAAATGGTTCCTTCATGATGACATTTCATAAAAAGGCCTTTGAAAACACTACAAGTTTCTAGCACACGTCTCTGTCTGCAGGCGTCCTCTCCTTGTTGGCCAATTAATTTGCCTTATCTGTTTCTTCATCAAACCATAATTCAAAAGAGCTACCATTTTGCCTGTAATAGCTTAAAAATCCGAGAAATATCTACTACCGCGAAACATTTACATCACAAAAATATTATGGATAAATTGATCAGACAGATCTAGACTATATACTAATTAAACAGAAATGTATAATCACATCAGAAACATTTCACTTGCAAGATATTTGGCTTCAGATTTTTCTTTTAAAAGAAAAACAATACATATCTATCTCCATTTAATTAAATCTAACAGTTGCCGCGCTGGCTGTTACTCTCAGAAAGCGACAGAAACTGGTGCCGGCGGTTGCCGTCAGAGAGTGACATAATCTGCAAAACCCGCAAAAGATAAAGAAGGGAAGATAAGAGCCTTTCCTGATTACTTCTATTCTTTTAAGTCGTCTTCTTCAGTTTTTTGCTCAGAGTCAACACCCACTGATCTCTCAGTCCCCGTTAATGCACAAGATAAATTTGCTATTTATTACATTATAATCACTTCAGGGGATCACAAAGCAAGAAAATAAATAGAAAATGCAAGTGATCTTGGTAATATTGTTCAACCCCACAGTGACGTGGTGGTCGATTCTATTGCTGTGTCTCAGAAAGGTCGATAAAGTAAAGACGATGACAAGTGATGTGAGAAAGGACATTTTTTCTAGAGACTACAACACAAAAAAAGAAAGAATGAAAGTAAGAGCCGCAAAAAAAGCAGATAGTGGAGCTCCATGATGAAGATTTCTCATAGAAGCCCCCGTCGCCATGTTAGCTAGCCATGAAGTCGAAGCCAGTGCACCTTCTTCCACTGACGATCCCGAAGACGAATCTGTTCCTATTGGCGACGAACCCGTCTTAAGACTGCAACACATAAACACAAACCCTACTCCTTAATTACAAACCACACAAGTTGTATTACAGAATATATCATACTATGAAAGCATATGCTTATATCAATTATTTAAATATAATTCTAAATGTATTGCATCATGCGATGTTCTATACTGGTCACGCGTGTGTTGATGCTTTATTAGAATAAGTTAAATTAATAAAAAGATGAAGTTTTTAATGATAATGACGGTGGCCGGGATAGAAGTGTGACGGTAGAATAACAATAAAAACAGAGAGGTGAAAGTGAATGGGGGAAAGCGAAAGGGAGCACCGACCTAGGGGAAGAAGGGCAGAATGTGACGGTATAGTCGGCAGCCGTGCAAGTAAAGGTACTGGTAGCATCGTCGTAGGCATAACTATACGATTTCGGACACGCCGACTTGAACATCACCGAGTACATCGACGGTTTGCACGTCGCCGGAGACCCGAACTCCCCGTTGCAGCAATACTCCGGCTTCCCAAACGCCCCGCATGCGCTGTTACACGCGTCGCCGCCCTCCACCCTCAGCTCTGACGGACACCGCCGGTTCAGATCCGCCACGCAGCCCGTACTCGAGCAGGATCCCGAGCCGCTGCTCGCCTCCACTGCCATCGGCAGATTGAAGCCGTCGACGAGGCTGACGTCATAATAGTCCTGGGAGCCGGATGAGCCGAGTGTGAACTCGGCTAGTGTCGCCGGAGGCGTGGCGCCAGCGCCGTTGCACTGGATTTGGCTAGAGCCGCAGTCGCCGGTGGCACAAGTTCCGCGGCCGGACTCGTCGAATTTGCAGTCGGTTCTGGCCCAGAATCTTCCGGACCAGCCCGTGGGTGCTTGGAAGCTCTTAGAGCCCCCACGTGCCAGCTCGAATCCCGTGCTGCCGATGTCTGGTTTTCCTAGAATTCCAGGCCACACCGTGTAATCACACTTATTCACAAACGTAAATGTAGCCCCTGAAATTCCTGAATGAATATTGTAGAGCAGAGCAAGAAAGGGAATCAGTTTCATTAACTTGTGTCTTTAGGTTAGACTCCCCAGATTTTGCAAGTTAAGGAATTTACCTTTGAAAAAGAGAAAAAGGAAGAAACCGAACAACAATTGAGGAGGAGAATGCGGAGAGTATGGTAACAGATCCATGATGGCTTTCCTCCGATGTTTGAGTTGAACTGGCGTGCTAGAGTTGCGGCTCAGATACAAGAGTGAATGGATAAAGAAGCAGAGGTCGGTATTGAAGTGCCAATGATCCTCTGCTACTACATATGTTTTCACTCTCTTTCTGCCGAGAAAAAGAGTGAAGAGGAAGAGGAAGAAGAGGAAGAGGAAGTGGCAAGGGGAGTTTTGGGGTCGCGGTGTGCATCATTTTTATAGACAGAAAAAGGTTAGACCTGTGACAACCGCCACACTTATCCACTGTAGCTAATTAGCTATGGCTCAGATAAAGGGCAAGAAGAAGGTGCGAAGTTTCTATCTTATTGCCTGCCCACCAGAAGTTCAAAGGAGTCCCAACTCTTTTAGCTTGAGAAAACATAAATGTTTTTTTAAAAAAAATGTACTCATGAAGAATACCCTTACCATTTGTCATCCAAAATGCCTGATCTGTTTCTATTAATGTGCTTGCAATCTTTTCTAAAGAGATTGATATATTTTTATTAATTTTGTTTTTAGTAAGTTAATAGTCATACTCACTTTCTTGTTAGGAAGCTTACTTTATGAAAAGTTCTTTTTGCATTTTTATCATTCCTCACTTATATTAGCAGGTGAATGATGATTGAGATTATTTTCTTTAGTTTTGTATTCATTTCTTTGTACTATTGTTATTCACTGTTTTGAATGAATTTCAGTTGTTGATTAAAAAAATGTACTAGTATATTCAATTCAATAACTGATGAGAGGTTAAAAGAATAATTATCATTATATATATATATATATATATATTACACAATCATTTCACTGTATCAATTCTTCTTCGTGTCTTTAACATAGTACAAACTTTAAAGGATTTTTTTCTAATGTAAGCCAAAATTAGTTTTTCAATACTCTTTTTTATTTACTATAGTTTGAATTCTTAAATAATAATTTAATGTAATTTCTAATTGTAAAGAATAATATATTTTTTAATAATTTTAACAACATAACTACGACTTTTTTAATAAGCACAGGTTAAACAAGTTTGTCTTATATTAAAGATGTGGGGAGTAGTATTTTTTTATTAATGTTTTTAAAAGGAGTTTTAAATTTAGAGTTGAGCACTTAGTTTTTAATTTTAGAGGTTTTCATATGACTTAATACTGTATATAAATATTTTTTTGAAAAGAAAAATTCTATATACTTAATTTTATATATTTAATATTTAATTTTTAATTAAATTAAGACATATATTTTTTATAAATTACACATTCTATAATTAATTTTTGTTATTAATTTTATTAATGTATTAAAATTTACTTATCATAATTTAATTAAATATAAATATATTAAGTATATAAAGTTTTTTCGTTTAGTTGCTGTCATAGCTTGCTACATAATTCTGACGGTACTATCTTAGGCTTGGTGGGAAACTATAATTAGTCCACGAAAGATGCACATTTTTCTCGATGCCACGGCACACAGCCGTCGACTCGTCGTCATCACTAACAGAGTGATGACTGATGAATGTACCATGGCGATTACGAGTCGGTTAAATCGATCGGAAGTTGATCTTCACCGAAGCTCAATTTTTCTTTTTTCCTTCCTACTATCAAACTGGGATGGCTCCGGAGAGAAGATTGGAGTATACTAATAAAATGGACGAGTTAATTGGCACATGCCTCGACCACGAACAAACTCTAATGATCAATTCTTGCTTGGGGGCATTGAAAGATATCATGTCCGCTTGTTGTACGGGGTGAGTAATTCCATTAAGATAAAAGGGAAAAAAAAGAAGAAAAAATTTCAAAGTGACGATTAGCAGACTCCTTGGCATCGGGTGTTGGGAAGGTGATGCTGTATTGGTCCTCCTTAGTTTAGTTATATTGAAATGTGAGCGCGCCTTAGAGGACCTTCTTCTGGTTTCTTAGAACAGAAAAGGAAACAAAGAACGAGAAGGAGGAGATGCAAGAAGGAAGAGGAAGGAGTGGCGGGGAGAGATGAAAGAAGAGAATAGCGGCGTCAGGAGGCTCCATGTGTGCGGTGAAGTTAAGAGGTAAGCCTTTGTGTGGCTGGCTGGAAATAGGATTATTATGAATGCATGAAAAAGCACCAAATGAGATTGTGGGAGGGGGACGCGATGACGTGGCTTGAATAGAAGCCCGAGAAGCGGCACCGCCACATGTTAGGGGCGAAGGTTGCGGACTTATCAAGCCATTGCAATCAACCTTGCAGAGCCACTCCCTGTGTCTTGTCGGATCTGGGAGATTATGCTTGTTAATCAATTGACGACAGCAGGCCGAAGACGAACAGGGAGTTCAACAATGAGTAACCAAAGTCAATTCAAAGGATTGAAGCTGGGAGGAGGGGAAAGGGAAAGGTGGCCGAATCATGTGGGGGGTGATGCAGCAGTTGCAATCGACGTCGCCTCACAGTCACTGCCAAGCCTTTCCACGTCCCACGCACCCGTACTCTTGCCGCCCTTGTTCCCTTCATTCGCCTCTCAGCCTAGCATTTGCTTGTAAACATTTAATTTACAGATCTTAATTTCAATACCCTGTCGTGTCAGTAGTGCTGACTAGGCATATCATTGATCTCTCGACTCCTGAACGCGAGTCTTTTATTGTAGCCCTAGTGTGGTTCAAAATATAAGTCATTCTGCTAAATTCTCTGGCATGATCTTTTCAGAATAATAAATTAAACTGTCTTTAGCTAACTTCTATATCCATGACAATGGTTTGGTCATTTACGAAAGACACCATCGTTTATGCTTTTTATGTAAGGGTGAATTATTTAAGTAGCCAGCAGTAGCCAGAATCAACAATCTGTTTAATTATTTAAGTAAGGGGTGCATGTGCTTGTGAATTGTGACGTGAGAGTGGCTTCTCCTTCAACGCTTTCCAACGAACATCTCTAATAAGTTGTGGATTACCTCACAATGGATTGTGAGATTGGCGCGATGAATTAGCATAACTCATATCATAACAGGTTATATTTCTTTTAACTCACAACAGTTGCCAACACACTAGCAAAATATTTTTTTTAATAACTTTTCCAATTTTAAAAATTACAGATTCTCCTTTTTTTTTCATTTTTTTGCGGTAAAGAAAATTATATTTTTCTCTTAAAAACTAGTTATCCAAACAATAATAAAACTCATTCTAAATCATTAAAAAACACCAATATCAATTTAAAATACATTAATACAATCCAACATAATTATATACTCCATCACAAACAAATATAGTAAGAGGTTGAAATTACAATTCAAAGCTTAAAGATAAACTTTGCAATGAAAAAATTAATAACAAAGGAAGCTCCATCACACTCCATAATGAAATGCCAAGATGATAACAAAAACAAAAAAAGGGGGGAAGAAAGATAAATTTTGTAATGAATTATATGATCAAAAGAGGAAAAAAATAATGATGACCCAGGTGGATATTGAATTTAGAGCATAAAACCAAAGAAAACACAAAAAGCTCGTTATCAACTTATTTTCAGGTATTTTACTACCATACATATATGTTCTTTTTAAGAATGCAAATTCCTTGTTAAGCCACATGGAAGAGCAAATTATTTTAAAGTAGGATTGAAACATTTAAAAAAAAAATTGTGAACTAACCTGTCAACCTACAGATTAACTTGCATGGGTTCAAATTATATGATATAGATCAAAACTGTTTTTAAATGAACCATTTTTAATCTAACCTATCACTTTTTTTGGGGATTGGCAAGGCATGGCACTGAATTTTGTAATAAATTATATGGTCAAAAGGGGAAAAAATAATGATGACCCAAAAAGATATTGAATTTAGAGCATAAAACCAAAGACCACACAATAAGCTCTCTATCAACTTGTTTTTAAATATTTTACTACCATATGTGTATGTTTTTTTAAGAATAAGAATTTTTTTTTAAGCTCAAACCACATGAAAAAGTAAATTATTTTAAAATGAGACTGAGACATTAAAAAAAAAAAAGTTGTGAGCTAACCTGTCATCTTACAGGTTAATTAATTTGTCGTGGGTTCAAATTATATTATATAAGTCAAAACTGTCTCTGAACTTTTCTTTTTTGTTTTTTTTAACCTAACCCATCACTTGTTTTGTTTTTCGGTGTAGGCAGGGCATGGCACTGAATTTTAGGTATGTCAGAGAGTGAGCCCAAAAGTGACAAATTTATCCACGATCATGTTCGCGCCACTCAGTCCTACTGGGATCTGGGAATGCATCACCACCAAGCCAACACTCTCGGCATTGATCTTCCTACAGCAACCTTGGGAAAAGTCAAAAACAAAAAAAGAAAACATATGGAAGAATCTAAGGTTTGGTCCTCCATCGATGTCGTCCGTGGAAAGCAGCGATGGCAGACAGTGCCGATAAGATTTGTTTCCTTTTCTATGTCTTACCTTTGAAAAATCACAGGGGCCCTTTTCCTATTTTCTTTTCTCTCTTCGCATATGCACTGTCCCTTCTTTTTTAAAGTTTCCCGTCAGCTAATGTTGGCCGAGTTGATCTTCGCTTTCCAGAGAGAGTACCTCTTGTGAAATATTTGGCTTCGCAGACCACGTCTCCGGCCATTTTATTTAATGTTTGTCACCAGAGATAAAATATGTGATCCAATAATACATGAGTTTGTGTATGCAAAGGGGGCGATCTGATACTCAGAATGTGGACGTGAGTGAGGAGAAATTTGTCATTTATTTTAATTTTTTTTAGAGCAGGGAAAAAAAAAAAAAAGAGGAACAAGATGGTCACAGGATGAAAATTAAAGGAGTCAAGCGAAAGGAAAGAAAGATGAAAGGAAGGATATGGGGAAAAGTAGGAAAGGTTGCTTGATCAATAACTCGGCTTATCGTTAATTTATTTAAAGCTGCCTTTCATGACACACACACACACACACACATGATCAATGCGTGTCTCTCTTTCATATTATCACGTGCTCATAAAAGCAACGCGAGCGGAGGGAAGATTACACAGGGTGGATGGCTGGATGCACAGCAGCAATCAAGAGCCCACTGATTCTGAATGAAATGCTGCAAGCCCACCAACATCAATCTCCGCCACTTTGACGTGCGAAGCTCGATCAGTTCTAATTTGACCCGACACGGAGGCCATTACGTTAAATTAAAGTTAATTAACTATCTTATCCATTCACAAGAGCTCTCAAATTTTGATCGTCCTTCTTCAATCTGCACCCCACTTTTGCCCCAAGTCAAATTGGAACTGTCCTTGCTTCCTTGTATTCTTGTATGTGTTTGCAAATTTCAACTATTAACTCCCCCTTGTTATTTGTATACATTAATTCTTTTTTTTTTTGGTTAAAAAATTGTATATATTTATTCTCACTTGAAATACGTCGCATCAAATGATAGTGCTAAGTTACGTTTATCTGGCACAAAATATAGAGTATTAAATAATTTGTATATTTATTTTTTCAATTCTATTCCTATTTCATTCATTACTTTTTTTAAAAAAATTATACATTAAAATTTTAATTACTATTATCAAGACTTTTATATAAAACGTTTAATAAGAATATAAATAAAAAATGTAAATACTTTTAAAAATTTAGGTTAATAAATAACACATGCTCTACGGATGGTTAATAAATAACTATTGAGGTTAAATTATTTGAGGTCCGCATGAAAGTGCGTCCCTTTTGGCAATATCGGTCACTAAAAAGACTCAACTAATTCTTGGAAGATAAATTTTGTCAACTCCAATTTAGGCTTTTTCTTTCTTTTATTTTTTTTCACGGAAATAAATGCATCTTCCTTGAAATCTCAAATCCAATAAAGTTATCTTAAAGAGAGAATTTTAGTTAAATACTGCAGTAAAAATATAGTTATTTGTGAGTTTAAAAAAATTTTAAAATTTTAATTTAGTTTAAAAAAATCAAAATAATTTTGATGGTAAAAAAATTAAAATACTCTTCATTTACTATGTAGAATCACTAATTATTAATTTTCTTACTCTATTTATTAATTTATGAATATGAGTTGTAAATTACATAAATTGACATGTTAGTAATTATATAAAACTTGACATTAGTTGTTTAATTATAAACAGCAACATCAATTATTAAATTTTTAATTTTATTTATTAATTTACTAACATCAATTATAAATTACTGATATGTCTTGTAATTTATTAACATAAATTATAAATTATTAGTAATTTACAATTGGTGTTAGTAAATTAACAAGTAAAATTAATAAATTAACAACTAATATCATTGATTGTTTTAAAAACGAATATAATTTATAAGTAATATTACTAAATTAATAAGTGTGATAAAAAAATTGACAACTAAAAATTATACATAACAATTTCGTTAAAAAAAAGATTATACATAACAAGTAAAAGGTATTCAGTCTTTTCACCGTGAAAATAATTTTAACTTTTTTTGTTGAACTGAATTAAAATTTTAAAAAAAATTTAAGCCTACTTAAAATTAAATCTCTATAATCCTTAATTGAAATCCTACCTAACTTAAATCTAGCATAAAATTCCTCAGGGTGTGGCTTTCTGCTTGTTTTGTTTTTTAAATTAGTATTTTTCCTAGTGTTCTTCAGTCCGCAAATTGCGGTGGTATCGGGTGCGGGTAATGACATGGATTAATAATAATCCCTAATCAGTGAACGGGGGCGGTGACGTATTGAAGGCAGATTTGGATTGGTTGACTGCAGGTACTAGATACCTCTATTCTTTAAATTATTAAAATATATATATCAACATAATTTAAATGAATTCATTTATTTATTAATTTTAAATAAAATATAAATTTAAAATTATTAATATTAATTTTAATAATTTAAATGATATTAAATACAGCCATCAAATTTAATTTAAAATGTTACTAAAGGCTGTGACGAGCCGTGACGGAACTGCATCTGGGGCTCACAACAAAAGACAAGCACAGATTCTCACATGCGCGAGGAATCTATTCGTATTCTAAAGCTCTTATAATTGTACTTCTATTGGGCTTCGGCCCCTTTATGTCACCCCAAAAAAAAAAAGCTCAAATAATTGCATCCGTCAACCTCACTGATAAATTGGCTTGTAAAAAAAAAAAAAAAACGAAGAAGAAGAAGAAGGAAACACACTGGTAAATTGGTAATACGCACCCAACATAAATACCAGCCTTTCATGCCTTTCAAAGTCATGCTTTTTTGGTAAAACTATTCTCCATTGATAAAAGCATAAGAAAAGGTATTTGGATGCTGAATTCATTCCCAGCGTTCTTTATTTCACGCTTCATTTTTTTTTATTATACTGGACGGAGCATCATTTGAAATTTGACAAAAGTTATGCATTCGGTCAATTCAAGATCAATTTTTGGTTGAAATAACACCTATTTCACAACACAAAATCATATCTTTCTTTTTCAATACAAAATTATGAGGAGAAATAGCCACCTGGGAGTGTATATTAGTCTCATTTCGTCTGCTTAATACACTAGAGCGCTGTAGACCCATGGTGGTATACGAGACAAATACACGCTAGTGAAAATTAAGATGACATAGTGAAAGTCATCCTATAAAAGCGATGGCATCAATATTTTTTTTTAATGAAATAATAAATAATATTAAAAATGGAATGCGGTGCAACCATGAGATTTATGATATCGGGGGAAGCATTGGGCCATGCATATATTTAATTTGAGGAACGGTGAGGGTGAAAATTGATGGTTTCAACGTAATAAGAAATACATGGGAGGAATACTCGCAGGTAAAACACAGCAGGCGAATAATAAAAAAGCAAAGAAAAGGAGGAATGGGGTCACGAAGGAGTTGTGCGGAAGGCCATTAGGGAAAAGCGGTCTTTTGGGATTGGATTCAAAATATGAAAGAATATAAGGTTTGGCGGCCGATATCCACCCAACATCGCGTCAGGAATATTAGGAACGAACAACTCGCCTTTCATTAATATCTGATTCCACCGTCAGGGCCAAAGCTTGCGGGACAGCCAGACTGTAAACCCCAACTTCACCAACAGCGCAGCTCACCAACGCAAATTATATTTATTTTGAAGAGGGTCACTAAACTAAATGAATACTAAATAAACATTGTCACTGATATTAATGATCTTAAAAAAAACAAGCAGAAGAGAAGAGAGAGCAAAATTGGAGTGCATGGTTTTATTGGATTAGAGTGAGAATACACACACACACACACACAATTACAGAAGGAGAGTGAGTATGGGAACTGGAAACCATAATAAGTGGAGTTAAAAAGGTCCCACGCATCACTCTGTAATTAATGCAAATAATGAAGAGGAGGTTAGCAGTGGAAGGCAGGACGAAGCAGGAAGGGCACAGGTGAGAGAATGATGCTAACTCAGCACCCGAAATGCCATCAACTCAAGTAACACCCACAGCAGCCTCCACCTACCTCCTCCGCTGCCATGCTCCCCCGACGCTTCCACCGCGTCCGCGTATTTCTCCTTCCCTGACTCCATCAAACTGCATCAATATTCAAACACTCCACATTACTCTCTCTCTCTCTCTCTCATATATATTACGATACTACTACCAAATATCACAACACAAGCATTACTCATATAGTACGTCATGTGTCGCCCTTGTCTTTACCTTGTGCTGGAGCCAGGGCAGAATGTGATCTCGTAATCGGCCGACGCACACGTGAACGTGCTTGTCCCGTCGTCGTACGCGTAACTGTAGGCGCGTGGGCATGCCTCCTTAAAGAATTCCGAGTACCTGCTCGGCTTGCACGTATCCGGCGTCGCGTACGCTCCGCTGCAGCAGTACTCTGCCTCCCCGAATGCTTCGCACGCGCTCTTGCACGCCACCCCCTCGTCCCACCCGTTCGCCCCGTACGTCACCTTCAGCTCCGTCGGGCACGCCCCGTTCAGATCCACCGTGCACCCCGTCGCCGTGCAGTTCCCTCCCCCGGCTCCCCCTCGCGGCTCCACAGTCATCGGAAGGTTGTACCCGTCCACCAGGCTCACGTCGTAGAAGTCCGTTCCCCCGGCTCCGTTCAACTTGAACTCCGCCAGCGTGGCTGGAGGGGCGGCACCGCCACCCGCGCATTCCACGCCGGAGGACCCACAGTCCCCGGTCGCGCAGGAGAACTTCCCTTCGGAGTCCTGGGAGCAGAGGGTGCGACCCCAAAAGCGGCCTGACCAGCCGGCGGGGGCTGTGATGGGGTTGGATTCCCCCGGCTGGAGGGCGAAACCTGTCGTGGAGAGCTGCGGAGTTCCGGCGTTGGACAGAATGCCGGGCCATACAGGGTAGCTGCACTCGTTTACGATGGTGAATGTTGCGGAATAGGAACCTGCACATCACAAACAAGACGATCTCTGATTAATGAAAGGAGAGACGGATTAATTCGTTACTTGGAGATGTTGTTCTGGAAGCATACAGCACATGCATTTGGTGGGATGCATGTGCAGTGCTGGACTAAGAAGAGGAAGTGAGTAGTGAGGAGTAGCATTTGGTGAGAATGATGATCTTGAAGTTGAAGAGCATGTTTACCTATTAGGAATTGGAGGAGAAGAAGAGAGAAGAAGGTGGTGGCGAAGGGAGTAGAAGTGGCCATGGTTGAGAGATACGAGGATTGGAATAAGGTCATAACTCATAAGTGAGGAGGGAATATTTTTATATATAGATTCGAGAGGGGAAGAGGGTTTCTCCATTTTCTTTCCCTCCATTTCCCTCCCAACTTTAGATCAAAAATTTAACAGTTTAAATTGAGGTTTTGATAAAATTATTATTTTATTTTATAAAAAGATATATAAATAAATTTAAATTATTTAAGTTTAATCTAAATTATTTAAAATTATAATATTTTGTTTATATAGTTTATATAAAATTAAAATAACAGTTTTTTAAAAAATTAAATCTAAATTATTAAAAAAATTTAATCTAAAAGTGATAAAAGAGAAATGGAAGAAAATGGAGGGAAGAGCCCATTGGCGAGGGGTGGGGGTCATGTGCCATGTGGTCGGAAGGGTCCATTGATAACAGATACGCACGGATCACTGGCACTGAAGACTAGGAGGTCGGCGACGTGTCTGATTGTTCATCGGTCATAACGAATAGATTATTCGGTATAAAATATATAAATGAAACGTAGCGATGGTAAGACGATATACTAGTTTGAGATGGAAAAGAGCGAGGAAATACAATGAATAGATAGAGAATAACAAGGGGAGAGACAGGCTTATTGAACAAATCGAGAGAAGGCCGACACTAACGGACAGGGTCACAAGCGGTGGGGTGGGAGTTTGGACGGCGAAGAGAGGGTGGGAATGAACAATAAGATGCTCTATTTGAAATGAAGGCCAAGCCGACACATGAACCTGTACCAGAGGAGCATGTATTTACTTCTCCTGTTCTATTTATAAAATAAGAAAATATTTTTTTATGCGTCAACGTATTTAATAAATAAAAATTTTAAATTCATTAAATTTTTAAATAGAATTAATAAAATTTAATTTTTTTTAATATTAATAAAATATATTAAAAATAATTTATAAATATAAAAATAAAAAAGAAGTCTTGGACTGGGGGATGACGGGTCAACCTCTATATATGGTGTGGAGTACAATTGTCTGCACAGCATTCCATTTGCACGTGATTTTTGCCTCAAGACGCTTGCTACCGTTGCAATCATCACATGCTTCACGCTTGCCTGAATGTGCAATACGTTTCCCAGGCCATGGCTGACGCCTCTTCCTTGCTCCAAGTCCCACACGCCTTCATGCCTCTCCTAGTGGCATGGGTATTTAATATTCTCCCCTGTTTTACCTTTCTGTGTGGGAATGAATAATGATTTTTAATAAAAGTAAATTTGAAAAGTTGTATTTCTTCTCTATCAAATTATAAAATACCTTTACATTATAGTATTTGATAAATTGGAGATGATGAATTTAATGGAAGGAATGGGAGAGAAAGGGAGGGAAGAGAATTCCTCTAAATCTCTCCAATTTGGAGGGGAAAGAAGGAAAATTTACCCCCTCTACTATAATAATGCCAAACAAATGGGGGGCTCTCATCCAAACAATTTCCCTCCTCTCCAACTAAATATGGGTTAGACAAAAGCATAAATACAAATAAACTTTACAATTTTATTTATTCAAAATAGAAATATAAATTTTTAAAAATATTCTTCATTTAATATCCAATTCATAAAAGAATATTAAAGAAAGAGAATATGATGAAAAACCATAATATTAAAAAAACATTATTAATAAAATTTTATTTTTATTAAAGTGCCTTATATTTTGAAACATTACACATCTTTCAAAAATATCTCATAATTTAAGATGGAGGAAATATATCTCTATATGAGAAATGTATAATGATTTTTAATAGAAGTAACGGGTGACTATTGCACAACTAAACTTACCATTGGACATAATTTGGTTAGCCAGATCATATTTTTAATCATCTGCGGTTAAAGAGGGAGGGGGGCGGGGGTGGGGCAGAGAAATAAAGAAGGCTGCGCAAGAGCTAAGCTTTTGCCAAATTGGATTTAACGTAGATTTCCTTGAGTTTTTCTAATGAAGGAAACATTTTTCCAAAAACAAAAAAACAAAACTATTTTTGAGAAATTTTAGGAACGTTATTCAAACTTGTAAAATAATGAGAATTTGATAAAACTTATTTCTAATTATTTTGCAATATTTTAATTATTTTGTAATAGTTTTTTAAAATAATTCAATAATATAATAAATGAAAAATAGTACTCATAAAGATGCAAATACACTGACGTGAAAGGATATCACAAAATTTAAAATTATTAAATTTTTTTTATAGAGTAATTTTAGGAAAGGTGTTGGGTTCGCCCACGATCCAAGAGCAGAGAGCAATCCCCAAAGTTCACGGAAATACTAATGCCGGGCAGGGCGAGTCATGTATTACCCTCAGGTGTTACCCGTTGCCCTCTAGGATTGGTATGCTTCCTCCAGCACCTCGACCAACCCAAGATTCGAACTCTCTCCATAATGCAAGCGGACTCAACCTTGACTGAGCTAAATCCAAGGACAAGGTGTAATAAAACATTATTTTTATAGATAGAGATAAACAGGAAAAAGAAAAGAGAAAATGATAGAAAAAATCCCATGAAATATACAATGACAAAAAGTACTTGCAAAACATTTTAATTATTCTCAAATTTCTATGAACCTTTTTTACATTAATAATTTTTGAGAAATGACTAAAATATTTTCAGTTCAAAATCAAAAAATTTACAGCTCTAATCCAAAAAAGTAAATACTAACAGCTATTTTAGATTAATCAATTACAAAGGGATAACCAATTAAAGCTTTACCAATACAAATTTCTTTAATGAAGCAAAAAATTATATTAGAAAAATTATTTATCTGGTTTTAGTCATTGCTAAAAAAAAATAGTTACTGTTTAAATTAAAATAGTCGTGAATATTCACAACACTTTGACTTTAACAAGACAAATATTTGTATGAGAAAAGTTGTAATTACTTATTTTATTTTAGTCATTACTAAAAAAAATCATTTGTTAAACTAAAATAGTCATTGATATTTACCCCATTTAGATTTTATTGAATAGAAAAAGTTACACAAAAAAAGTTATGATTACTTGTTCCGTTGTAGTGAATAACAAATTTGAATAGGGGAATTATAATTAGTTGTTTTCTTTTAATTATTACTAAAAAAAGTAACTATTATTTAAATTAAAATAATTATTAATATTTACTTTTTTAAACCCGTAACTGTTACTGTTTTTAATTTTAAACTAAGTTTATTTCAATCACTTCATCAAAAATCAGTAATGTCAGAAAAGTTTTCAAGTATTTTAAAAAATTATAGCATTTCATAAAATTTCATTGTTATTTACATATTTTCATAAATTCTTTCTTTCAACTTCCCTAAAAAAAGTTCTCAAGGTTACTAATAATATATCAATTTTCATTATGGTAACTTAATCCAAAATAGTCTCTGTTTTTCATAATTTTTTTTAACAGAAATCACTGTTCATTAAATTTATAAACTATCTTAAATCCATTTACTTTCTATGCTGGCCAGGGTATGGCTTAGTGTTGGACTCAAAACATATAATTTTAGTGAGCACAAAAATTTAGACACACCTCTGTAAAGCTACATTTTACCCTCTAAAAACAGTCGATATAGAGAACAAAATCAACAGATAAAAAGTATTACTCATTTAGTTGAAAAAAGATATGGAAAAAAATTGCAAAGAGGCCAACCTTGTTTTTAAAGCAAAAGAAGCACGTGCACGTCTTCTTTTATATTGACAACCACAACGTCAATTTAACCAAACATAAAAAATAATAATGTACTCCCTTTATTTTCGAATATGAGAAACTATCATATATATATATATATATATATATCTATCTTTGTTTTTATTTATAAATAGAATTACAAATTTTAAGAAGCATTTATTATACATATTTTTTAAATTGCCTCTCATAAAATCAATCTTTGATTTTATCAAACACATTTGTTTCATTAATTATAAAGACAATTTAATCAACTTCATAAATTTAAAATATAATTATTATACTTAATCAATTTTTTAAAATTGTGTGAATTGTCCGTCCCTCCCATATCTGGGGAGAGAGAGATAGAGAGAGTAATGTATATAGATGAAATATTATGTTGCTTTCTACTGAAGGACGAAACCAACCAAGTTGGTAATGCATCATCATCCTTCATCACTCCACCTTGTTTTTTGTTTGTTTGTTTGTTTGTGCAGATAGATAAAACTAGGATTATGCAGAACCTCCAATTCTGTTTGATCTAGCTTGACCTAAAAAGATTCAGTATTGTCCGATCTTATTAAAAACTAATCCTTTAAGATTTAAAAGATTAAATAGATCAAATTGTTTCTTCGGATTGGTTGGATAGGAAACTGAGCATTTGGACCACTTGATTTAGTCTGATCCTATTAAATTTATTTAATATAATTATAATTAATTTATTAATTATTTATAATAACATATTAAGACCATTAATAATTTAACAAGCCTGGTTTCTCACACGGTTGCATGTTCGTGCTAATAATTTAATAATTTGGACAACTTAGTTGTAACTGAAATTTTTTCTTGTTAGAAATTATCATAGATTTATTATAATTATAACTGTTTTTATTACTATAATTGAGTTTAGTAGATTGAAATAGATTATCGCTTCTCATAAAGAAAAAAAAAGTTAAGTGAGTATGAGATTAACAGGATTAGTCTCCCAATCCTATAGACTAAGCCTAGTCTTGTTAATTTTTGAATTATCACTGGATCAAACTGAATTATGGATTGTTTAACTCAATTTTTTTTCATAAAAGAGACCAAACTTTGAATTAGGCTAAAATCCAATCCCGTCCAGTTTTTTGTTTAGCCCTAGATAAAAAGGTCAAAAAAATAAAAGAAGGAAAGACAAGGTAAAATAAATATATCTCATATTTACTACAACTTATTGTATCAGTTTTATTAGAGAAATTCTTAAGTAGATTAGATGTGCCATATCATTTATAATCTATCTAATAAAAATATGACATTTAGATAAAATTTAATATAAATTAATTTTGAGATTAATGATAGTAAGGAGAGAAAAGATAAAAAATTAAATATGTATTTTGTTATGAAAGTAAAATTAATTAAAATAATATTGTATAAAATTTTATTGAAACGATTTAATGTAATTTAATTGAATAAATAATAAATGATGTAGCGTATCCTATCTGTCTAAAATTTCTCGGTTTGTCAAAACACTAGGAAACATCAACAGGTGGGGATGAATGCCCTAAAAAACAGTATTAAATTGAAGAAAAAAAAAAGCCCTAAAAATATCATCAGACGAGATTCTTCGACCTGGGAAGATGGCCAGGAGCCCATATTGGGTCTGGGGCATTAAGAAGATCAGGTCATATACTTTGGACACGACAGCCCAACTCAATCACGCACAACCATGATGATAACAACCCCTAACCGGAAGAAAATTGCCTTTCATGTTTTGCAGCTAAACTGCACGTCAGTCCTTTCATCAAACCATTTTTTAAAAAAAAAACATATTCGTTAATCTTTATAATTTTATCAAATTTTATTTTTAATTTTTAAAATTTTCTTTCAGTATTTTCAATGAGAAAAAACACTAAAATTATAGAGATTTAAGTAACAAATGTCACCCAATTTTATTAAAATTATAGAAATTAAAAATACTGAAATAAACTACAAGGACCAAAGGCAAAATTCAATAAAACTATAAAGAGCAAAGATTAAGTTTTCTCAATTTATGTATATTTAGAACGGGAACCAACCGTCCAAAAATGAAAGGCAAGAAAGGCAAGGACTAACGAGCAAGAGTAACAGAAAGACATAATATCTTAGTTCAAAATTTCAATGTTCAAGTTTATGTATTTTTTTCCTTTATTTTATAAAAAGAATCCCAATCCAAAATCTCAAGTAAGTTTTTCACAAACAGGACTAACACATTTTGATTTTGAGTTATAAAACTTGAGTATTGAGCGTGTGTTTGGTTTTTAATTTATCAAAAGTCTATTTGTTGAAAATTTATTTGCAAAAATCAATCGCAACAAAATTCATGTTTGGATATATTTTTTAAAAGTTAGTTTAGTAAAATGTAAGTTGTTTAGATTAATAATTATTTGTACTTTTGAAATATACTTTAAAATATGTAATGATCAAAAAGGACATTGATTCATGATAATTAATAATTTTTGTTATACAAATATAATATATTAAGAATGTTTAAAAATGTAAAATAATTCAAAATAACATAAAATTTAATATGTTAAATAATAAGAATAGAAAATACTCTATTCGTTCAAAAATGTAAGACATTTTTTGAGGAATTAGATGTTAAAAAATGTAATACATTTTTAATTTTTCGAGGTGTAATTATTATTATTTTTTCAAAAGTGCCCATATTTAATAATGAATTTATATTTATTGTAGAGTGTTTGATAAATATGAAAAGATAGGATTAGTTAAAGAATAGATAATTACTTTATTAAAGTGAGATTTGATTAAAAATGTCTTATATTTTTTAACGGAGGGAGTATATGGTTTAATATTAGAAAAAAATTAAAACATAATACGGGTATCATGGTCATTTATAGAAGTAGTACAACCCAACTCCCATTTACAATTTCAAATCTATCAAAAAATAGAACTGGCAAATCTACATTTCAATCATATCTTAACCTATATTTAGAAAGTCATTTTGCTCACTTAAAAATTATGCAAACAACATTTAACATTCCAAAGGTATAAAATTTGATTTCAAATGCCAAACCTTGATTACCCAAACGCACCCTTAAATGTAAATAAATTTAAATGTAAAATCATAATAATACTTTTTCTTTTGAAAAAAAGTTAATCCAATAATTGTCAGCACCAACCATGACTTATAGTGTAAAATCAAAATATATTGGTCTCTTTTTGTGAAAACTTGCTCCAAAGATCATTATTACAATATTTTCTATTTTATATTAATTATTAAATTTAATTTTATTCAATATTTCACATTGATTCAAATCTACTCACATTTATACAACTTAATAATCCCTCATCAAGTATAAGTTTGGAAGTTCCCCATATCAAAAACACTCCAAACATCAAGTCTCTGTTATGCTTCTAATAAGGGCTAGCTCGATTTTATAGGTAACAAACTTTCAAGTCCCAAGCCAAATCAAGCTTTAATATCACTTGTTATAAATAAAGAGCAATTGCTCAAAAATGGGGGAGAGAACAAATGAGACAAGAGTAGCAATAAAGTGCCATATCTTACTAAAAAATTTAAAGTTTAAGTTTACAAGTTATTTCTCTTTGTTCCTCTGATTCTATTTATAGGGTAGAGAAATAACATTTACCTTGATTCTATTCATAAGATATCATAATAATCATTGTATCCATTTTTAATCTCGTCTTTATTAAATGTTAAGAGTGTTTTGTTTTCATATATATATATATATATATATTTAATAGAATAAAATTAAAAACTTGTTGAATATTTAAACAAAATCGATGAAATTTAATGTTCTTTTTTGACTTTGGTGAAAATACTAAAAATGACTTCTAAATAAAATCAAAAGAGATATTATATTAGTTATTAAATTGAATTTTCTTCAATGTCAGACTTTCTACATTGACTAAAACCTATTCACATTTGGACAATTATACTTTTTTAATTGCCTCAAATCCACTTACACAATAAGGTTACGTTCAAATACGAAGTCCCTGCTCCCTGTTCCTGTAATCAAGGTAACACTCCCTCTTTGTTATATATTTACTGTGAGCCCTAACTCTATCCAATATATTCAAACATCAATCAAAATCCATAATTCATTTACATTTAAATAACCTGACAGCATAAGTGCTGAGTGCTCATATTATTGTGTCAAGAGCGTGAATGCTAGTATCCCCGCTACTTATGGAACAAAGATGACCAGCGAAAGAGTTAGCGCTCGAAACAGTGACCGTTTGGTTTTGCCCCGACATCGTTGGTGGTGGTGTAGCTTCTGCCTGAAAGGGTTCCATCAGGACTTTATTTGAATTAGTCTAGACTTCCATTAAGTACCATCCACTTGATGTGGACTGTATAAACCAGATGCTCCACACAGAAGAGGCAGAGGGAAAGAAAGCATCAAAATGGTAAATCTTAATAGAAGCCGCCTCCCCGGAATCCGAGTGCATGAAAGATTTGAGAGATCTGAGAACAGACTTCACTGTCTAAGCTTTAAAGTGCTTCGGGGTCCATGTATCTCAATGTAACCTGAGAAATAATCCCCCTCCACAGATGCATATATATCTTATAAATTCAATGAACATTTACCCATTAATAAAAAATCTTGGCCTCCTGTAAAATTATAACCAGAAACCAATCTACAAGCTTCTCTTGTACAATTTCTTAGACAATAGTCTCATACAAAAGCGCCAGTAATTTATATCGGGGTCCATGTATCTAAGAGTTTTTGAACAACAAAGATCTTCCTCATCAGCCCCTATCATAGCCCACAAAGTAAGTAAACCTCAAGATGGAGTAAACGCAGAAGTAACCCTCAATTGTGGGCAAGTCGATTCAGACCCCCACAACAAATAAATTGAGAGCACAAGCCGAACATTGATGAGCATTCTTAAAAGAGTGCCATAACACTGTTACAAAGCTAAATAGCATAAGACAGCAATATAGTTTCCAATGGTAGAGAGAGAAGAGAGAAACTCTCCCGCTTGCGACTAAATTTGTAAATCAACCTAAAACATATCACATGCTCGCAATTCACCTGAAAATCAAGTGGCTTAACTTGCTATGAAACATTTAGCATCAACAAGACAGACTCTAAAAACCAGTCTCCAGGAACACAGGGTGACAGGAACAGTGAGTTTCCAATGCAAAAAACCCAAAATGAAAACAAAGGAATAATATAGAGATATATATAAAGCAGCATTAAGGAATGAATGCAAGACTAAATTAGAAGGGACATGAAATATGTTCCGGAATTAGATCAATTGGAGATATGCCGAAGCAAGAATTATCATACGAATACATCCATTCAATAGTACTACATAAAAGGGCCTTAACAAATAAAAAGTGAGCTTCACATAAAAGACAAGGAGTTGGGAGAGAAGTCAATTACAGGACAATGAGCAAGAACTATTGCCATTATTTTTCATGCTTTCAAGAAGCAATCTCTTGACATGACACGGAACCATTGTCATAGTTACTCTTCTATTATATTTGTTTAATACCTTCCTCAATTTATCAACATTAAACACTTTAATCAAAGTTCTGTTGCCAACAGCAAATATGTTGAAGACACAATCCAAAAATTGTCATAAGAAACAAATATTGGGTCCAAGTCCCTCCAATACAGCTTCAAAGAGGCATATGACCAGACAGCTAAGGAATAAAGCTTTAGAGTTTAGATTGTTGACTCACAAATTAATATACCGGAGAAAATTTCCAGAGAAACAGCATTTCTATTTATTTCTTATCTTTATAATGATTAAAGACAAGGAAACAAGAAAAAAGGGTAATACTTTACGATCTTCAATGGACTGCATTCTAGTTTCACGCAACATTAAAATTAAGATCACATGAACATTTCAGTACCGCACACGGCATTTTAGCAGCTCTCGGGCGACAATGGTAAATAATACACTTGAATACGTGATGCAAGGTCTGGTAGGTCCATTATAGTTATATGGCTACATTCACTGCATTACTTTCTAAAGGGGTAAAATAATGGAAATGTCAAACAATGAAAGCAATAAGGGGGAAAAACAACTGCTAAATTAGAAATTTATCTCATAGTCATTGATGAACAAAAGAAAGTAACAGAGGGATTCTATTCCTCCTCTAACCGAGCAATTTACGGAAAATTGCCTGTCAAGCAGTAACAAATTAGCTTATAGCTGATACCAGAAACAAAGTCATAATCCTTTGCACGAACAACCTATGTATAAATTTTAAAAGGAGCCAAGAAGTAGATAAACTGTCAAAAAAAAAAAAGAGCGAGAATAAGTTCTCCTTCTCTTTCTACCAAAGTTTATCTCATGCAGAGGCTTCAGGGCACTCTCGCGCAAAATGCCCTCGCCTCCCGCAATTAAAGCATGTATTTCCTTGGGTACCGACGCCGCCGCTGCCATGCCTTCCGCTGTCTTTACTGCAATCCCTGGCCAAGTGACCCACTTCACCACACGTGAAGCAACCTCCACCGCCCCCACCGCTTCCCCTGATGCAGTCCCTCGCCATGTGCCCATACTCATGACACCTAAAGCAAGCCCCCCCGCCGCCGCCGCCGCCGCTATTTCTAATTGAACAGTCCCTAGCCAAATGCCCAACTTCACCACATTTAAAACAAGGGCCACCAGCATTATTGCCCCGGTTGCAATCTCTGGCTAAGTGGCCGACATCGCCGCACTGGTAGCAGCCAGCGCCGCTAGCTCCGCCGCTGTTACGCCTATCCCCGCCTCTCCATCCACCGCTAAAGCCATAGCCCCCATCGCGACCACCGTAATTATCTTTCTTGGATTGTAGAGGAGCTCCATTGGGGCCAGTAACATCAATGGCTTTTGTTTTGTCATTGTCACCAGAGGCAATCACGAACTCGACACGATCGCCTTCTAAGAGACTACGATATCCTTCGGATCTGATGGAAGATTGATGAACGAAGAGATCTTCTCCTCCATCGTCGGGCTTGATAAAGCCAAAGCCCTTAGAATCGCTGAACCACTGAACCACACCAGTTGATCTCTCCTCCGCCATTAGAGTAGAACCCTAGACAGTAAAGAGAGAGAATTTAGATTGGGGAATGTGTGAGAACTGAGGTCTGGGAACAGCGACAGGTAGCTTTATATATAACACGAATAATCAGATCTTTATTCGTGAAGCCCAAAAAGATCAGCTAGTAAAAAAACCCTAATTAATTCGGGCAACCAAAAATAATAAATTCGGGCAACCAAAAATAATAATAATAATAATAATAATAATATATCTGGTTAACCACTGATCGATCTGCGCGGCTTTGTTATTTGATTTTTCAATAGGGGAAGTTTTGTGGGGTCAAAAAAAGAAAAATGCTAAGAAAACTTCACTATAAATCTAATTGTTAAGAAGAGGCTTATGAATGTTTTATAAATAAGGTCATTCCTTATCAATAATTGGTGAAAGTTAAATAACATAAATGCCCTCCATGATTAAAAAAAAAATTGAGGAAGATCTTTTGTTGTTAATATATTACATAAAGTCCTTCTCTGTTAATACGTCACAAGTTTTTTGCTGTCAATAATTAAATGTCAATATGTAACATAGTCATTTAGTGTTAATATGTCAAATAAAGTTCTTTGGTGTCAATTTAGTGAGCTATGAAATACATTTGAAGCATATGTGATGTTTCTTCCATATATTAAAATATCACTTTTGCTTACATAAATATTCCTTGTTAAAATTCCTTACAGACACCTTCAGATGCATACGTAATGCTTCTTCTACAATATACGACTGCGTTTTAATGAAATACAATTTTCTTCAATATATTTGAAATATTACTTTTGCATATTCAAATATCATTTATTAAAATTGCTTATAGACACCTTTAGATGTACACGTGATATTTCTTTCATGAAATGTAATTTTCTTTTATATATTAAAATATTAATTTTGCATATTTGAATATACCTTGTTAAAATCCTTTGTGAATATTTTTGAATACATATGCAATGTTTCTTCCACGATATACAATTGATCTTCAACGAAATGCAAATTTTCTTTTGTTTATTTGAATATGCATTGTGATATCACAAAAGAAAAATTGCATTTCCTTGAAGAGTGGTTGCATATTGTGAAAGAAGAGTCAGATATAATTGAAGATACTAGCCCGTGGTTCTAAAACATGACACTAATTGTAAATTTTTAAGATATCCAAAATAGTTACTCAAATAAATAAAAGCTAAATTACATTTTCAGGATATCCAAAATTATATTTTGAGGATTTATATTGATTGAGGTTTATGGATGTTAATCAATTATTTAGACTCTTAATTATGATTTAAATTGGGCTTAAAATCATATATAAAGTTATTTGGGGTTCAAAATAGGTATTAGGCTTGTTTGGGCCCAAGTTATTGGGCTTAAGTGAGTTTTCTTGGCATTGTGCCATATGTTGCAGTGTGTGCACGTATGCTGTAGCATACTACCCATTTTTAACACTTATTGCTTCGGCTCAAAATCAGATAGAAAGATAAGTCTTGGGTGAGGCTAAGTGCAAAAATTTATTCTTTTGTTAAGCTCTAGTTAAGAGCTATTATTGTGCATGAATTTGAACTTTAAAAACCCTAAGGTAATAATCCTAACCTCTTCTTTGACCTCCTTTGTTCATTTTTAAAGTAAATGTCTTCATGTGTGTTGTTAGGGTCTCATTATGCTAACCAACCCTTAGGTTCAAATTTTATAGGCGTTTTGAGATTAAATAAGTGTAGTTTGAATTATTTTATTGTTTATGGTTATAGTAGGTTGGATTCGAAATCTTATGTCTTATTGGGTGATTATAGTAATGATTTGGGTATATAACGGTTAAATAAGTGTTAAGAGAGTATAATGATGATGATTTTAAGGGTTTTTAAAGGTTTGAATGGTTTGGACAGCTATGGTTTAATTAGGTTAATGAACCTATTCCTAAGATTAGGGTATTATTAATGTGTAGATATCATAATTAGTGTTAATTAGCACTTTATTAATTATAATTAGTATTACATTGTATGTAGATTATGGTAGAAACATCGTTAAAGGTGAAAGTTCACTTGTTCGGGGATGTAATGATCTCCATCATTAACCTTTAAATAACTCCACTAACAAATATCTTTAAATGAAAGGATCAACCATGACTTTAAAGTTGAAAATAATTATTAAATGATAGCAGAAATTAGGATCTTGATTCTTGAGGAATCATTAAAGATTAAATAGAATGCTTTTATAAGGTTAGAGTATTTGAAAATATGCAGCAATATGGAAATATAAAACATAGCATTAAAAAGGAACGAAGAGGATAAAATAGTCATTTTAGAAGACTGTACTAGCTCGTCATGGCTAGAGCCGGGAATAAGGGCCGGGCCTGAAAGCCCTGTTTAAATAATGGTTCAGGCTTTGAAAATAATTTTTTTTAAAAGTAATAGGGCTTGAGGGCTTGGCCCTGATAAGCCCTGTAAAATAGGGCTCGGGCCCGGGCTGCCCTTCAAGCCCTGTTATATTATTTTTATTATTATTATTTTTAGTAAAGCACGTGTTTGAAATCAATGACCTGCTCACCTGATCCTACACACATTATATTATTATTAATTTTAATTTATTCTAAAATTAATTTAATCTAATTTAATAAATATCAGTGTATAGTATAAAATTTATGATATTTTTTATTTTTCTATAATTATTATGTTTGTATATTTATAAAAAAAATGAACTATTTTTTAAATGAAGATTTAAATTTTATTACTAGACTTCTAATGTATGTTATTTAATTTTTAAAAAATTATAATGATTTTAATTTTTTTAATTTTAAAATATTTTAATTTATTTATAATGTTTAATTTTATTTTAATTTTTTTATTTTTTAAGAAAGGGCTTACGGGCCTGGCCCTGAGCCCTGAGTATAAGGGTCGGGCTTGAGAAATGGGGGTCAAAATGGGAAACCGGGCTTTAGGGCTCAGGCCCTTAAGGGCCGGGCCCACCCGTATTCCCAGCTCTAGTCATGGCTAATTGTACATTGACCCACTCACTACGACTAAAGACATATTCATTGTGACATAAGTCATAATGGCCAACTCACCACAGCCAATATGTAACATCTCGAGAAAGGAGAGCCAAGTGATAACCATAATTTTAAAGGTTAAGGGGGTTGAATTTTGGTTTGAGTATCCCTAAAATGGGGTAATGACATTAGGTTTGGGGCTGAATGAGAGGTGGAGTAGCTAGGAGTAGAAGAGCTTCACTATGTTACTCACCTAAGTGAGTGGGAGTATTCATTGGGGTGAGAAGTGATATTCTTGCTGGGGCAAGTGGAGCAGCTTGCCAAGACGAGCAGCACATTTCAAAAAAAATTATAAATACATGATTTAGCTAAAAGTAGAAGTCAAAAACTCATTTTAAACATTTTAAAGGTGTGGTTTCTAAGTTCTCTATATTAAAGTTAGCCTTTAGTAACCTAAAGAGCCCTAATCAAGTCGGATTTTACCAAGGTAAGTATTCTAGGACCGATTTGCATCTTTTACATCTCTATTTTATAGATCTAATGTTTGAGATCTTGCCCTGGGCTTGGATCTTAGATATAAATTCTTAGAGTTTATCCATCTAAATCTCAAAATGAGTTTTGACTAGTTCAATTATTGATATAAAACCTATCTATGGTATAAGTTTATCCTAGAAACTATTGGGATTCGAGTACAATAAAACTCAGGAGTGAGAGATTGAACCCTTAATCTCTCAAAGCTTTAAGGTAACTAAGAATTTAAGTTGTAATTAATATATATTATGTAACACTACTTGAGGAATTATTTATGCTATTTCACTTGCTAAACTATGTATTGCATTCGAGCGATGAAATTTAAATTTGAATGAGACATATTAATTTTGTGAGATGCTATGAAATTGATCTGAGTATGTGTAGCATGCTTATTTGTTATTTGGTGTATTAATAAGTAATAATATATGTGATGAATTGCTATATATTGAGTATTGGATTATATATATTACTTTTGAATTGAGAAACTGCTCTAAATTATCTGTATATATATGAATTTATTGATTTGGATACATGCATAAGGGTGGGAGTTCACCTACAGGAGAGTTGTAAATAATATGAAAAATCTATAGTCTACTCTATTGAGGTCGCCCCTTAGTAGTGATTTATATGAATGTATATGTGCTTAGTTTCAGTGCTTAAATTGGTAGTGTTGGTCAAGCACTTGCTCAGGTTTACTGCTTGGATTGGTAGTGATGGTCAATCATATTATGACACCTTGAAGGTTGAGTAAGGAGAATTGTGGTCTAAAATGGAGTAAGGAGGCCTTTGGTTGGGTAACCCGTCCTGATTTAGAGAGCAAAACTAGCCTAGTAATATAAACTAGAGCTATAGTGAGTTGCCCATGAGTTTAGTCAGAGGTGATAAGGGGGATTTAAGCATGCATCATTTAATACATATTTTCCTGTGAATCATCATGAAATTAAATGACTAATATAAACTCTAAAATATATCTTGCATGTGGTTTTAAGTTGAATATATAAATTGTATAAGTTGTATGTTACCACTGTTTTATATTAATTTAAATATCCTAGTTACTAAAATTTTGTATGAAATCTCACCCTGTTACTTTCACTATTTCTAGGAGATAATAAGGGCAGGGATAAAGGCGAAGTCTAGGGAACAAAACACTAAAGTTGCTAAGGCTTCAGGTGAACTTCTCTATAATGCATCATCATCATCATCATGATTATTATTATTTGCCAACTATAAGGGCATATAGATTCAGGATTGTGTTGCGTGTGAAATTTATGTTTAAAACCTTGTGGCATTTTGACTTAAACTAGTTCAAAAGAGGCCTAGATTAATGTTTAAAGATTTAAGAATTGGAGCTAGGTTTTGGCTCATTTAATTGTGATTATTCAATTTGATTTCAAAGTATGTTTAGAGAATAGTTATATAAGTGTCTCGTTAAGCGAGTAAAGGCCTACTAAGGCGAGTTGGTTTATTTAACTCTCACTAGACTCAACCATAATTTTTGGTTTCCTTTATAAATTTTACTTTAATTAATTATTATTAGGATTAACACTTTAACCCTTAATAATG